ACAGCGAATTACGCAATTATTAATAGTGCTACAATTATACATTTACATTCATTTTAATCCGCAGATTATCATCTTTATTTAACTTATTTTATTTTATATATGCTATTAATCATTGTTTAGTTATACATTAAAATCTAAATTTAATTATTTCAAATTCGACAGCGAATTGCTCAAATATTAGAAGTTACACAATGATGCATTTACATCCATTTAAATCCTGAGATTTTCATCTTTAATCCACTTGTTTCATTTTATATGAGCCAGTAATAATTATCGAGATATACACAAAACATCGAAGACATCGTATTAAAATTTAATTATTTTAAATTCAACAGCGAATTACGCAATTATTAATAGTGCTACAATTATACATTTACATTCATTTTAATCCGCAGATTATCATCTTTATTTAACTTCTTTTATTTTATATATGCTATTAATCATTGTTTAGTTATACATTAAAATCTAAATTTAATTATTTCAAATTCGACAGCGAATTGCACAAATATTAGAAGTTAAACAATGATGCATTTTAATCCTTGTATTTTCATCTTTAATCCACTTATTTCATTTTTTATTTACTTACAATAATTATCGAAATATACACAAAACATCGAAGACATTGCATTAAAATTTAATTATGTTAAATTCGACAGCGAAATACGCAAATACTAAAAATGTTACAATTATTTATGAATGCTCATTTTATTCCTTATATTATCTAGTTTAATTTGCTCATCTACTTTTTTATTGGCTACTAAGAATTATAGAGATATAGACTAAAGATGGAAAACACAGCATTATAATTTAATTGTTTCAAATTCGTTTACAAATTAGAAGTATCATTATTATGTATTTATAGTCATTTTATTCATTAGATTAACAGCTTTAATACGTTCATTTCATTTTTTATTTGGTTATAATAATTATCGATATATGCACAAAAATCCGAAGACATTACATTAACATTTTATTGTTTCATTTTGAAAACGAATAACGTAAATATTAGAAACGCTACAATAATGAAACTAAACTCATTTTATTCCTTAGATTATTAGTTTGAATGCACTTATTTTCTTTTTTATTAACTAATAATAATTATCGATATTTACTAAATACCGAAAATACACGAAATACAACTTTTTTTTTAAATTTGACAACGAATTACTCGATTATCGGTTTAGTTACAAACACGTATTTACACTTGTTTTAATCCTTGGATTATCTACTTTAATTTACTTGTTTTATTGTGTATTTGCTAGTAATAGTTTTCGAGATACGAATTAAAATCCATATGCACTGCAAAATTTAAATGTTTCAAATTAAATAATAAATTACACGAACATTAGCAAATCTGCATTTATGCAAATTTACTCGTTTGATTCATTGCAATATTAGCTTGAATCTGGAATATTCAATTTATAATAAACTTTTTGTAATTGGAAAATGATTGCAAATGGAAAATTTTAACATTATCACTAATTTTGTATATACATATAATCCCGTTGTTAAGTTTCCATATCTTCGTGTCGCCAGTTTAGCGATAATTTATCTCTCATCATTATTGGAAAAAGTTGTATTGATATACAAATTCGACAGCGAATTACGCAACTATTAATTGTGCTACAATTATGCATTTACAATCATTTTAATCTGCATATTATCATCTTTAATTTACTCAATTTATTTTAAGTATGCTATTAATAATTATTAAGATATACACTAAAATCTAAATTTAATTATTTCAAATTCGACAGCAAATTACTAAAATATTAAAAGTTACACAATAATGCATTTACATCCAGTTAAATCCTGAGATTTTCGTCTTTAATTCGCTTGTTTCATTTTACATGAGCTAATAATAATTATCGAAATATACACCAAACATCGAAGACATCGCATTCAAACTTAATTATGTTAAATTCGACAGCGAATTACGCAATTATTAATAGTGCTACAATTATACATTTACATTCATTTTAATCCGCAGATTATCTTCTTTAATTTACTCATTTTATTTTAAGTATGCTATTAATAATTATTAAGATATACACTAAAATCTAAATTTAATTATTTCAAATTCGACAACAAATTTCTCAAATATTAGAAGTTATACAATGATGCATTTACAACCATTTAAATCCTGAGATTTTCGTCTTTAATACGCTTGTTTCATTTTACATGAGCCAATAATAATTATCGAAATATACACTAAACATCGAAGACATCGTATTCAAATTTAATTATGTTAAAATCGACAGCGAAATACGCAATTATTAATAGTGCTACAATTATGCATTTACATTCATTTTAATCCGCAGATTATCATCTTTAATTTACTCATTTTATTTTAAGTATGCTATTATTATTTATTTAGATATACACTAAAATCTAAATTTAATTATTTCAAATTCGACAGCTAATTACTCAAATATTAGAAGTTACACAATGATGCATTTACATCCAGTTAAATCCTGAGATTTTCGTCTTTAATCCGCTTGTTTCATTTTACATGAGCCAATAATAATTATCGAAATATACACTAAACATCGAAGACATCGCATTAAATTTAATTATTAAATTCGACAGCGAATTACGCAATTATTAATAGTGCTACAATTATACATTTACATTCATTTTAATCCGCTGATTATCTTTTTTAATTTACTCATTTTATTTTAAGTATGCTATTAATAATTATTTAGATATACACTAAACTCTAAATTTTACTATACACACATAATCCCGTTGTTAAGTTTCCATATCTTCGTGTCGCCAGTTTGGCGATAATTTATCTCTCATCATTATTGGAAAAATTTGTATTGATATACGACGTTGATTAGTTTGTTTCTCGAGGCGCAGTAATTAAATTAATTAATTACGAAGAGCGGCCATTAAAAATATATATTAAGAAAAAAAAAAACTAGGGACTCTTCTCCGACAACGACAACGTAACGTAACGTAACATTCCAGTTTCATAATATTTTACGGTCGGCCGTAAATCGCCAGAGCGAAGAGATCTTTTAACGACCACCAAAAACAAACAGAAATAAAAGGCGTTTTATCACATGCATTCATCGTTCATAATCCAATTAAAACAACACAAAAACACACACCTTAAACTCCATATATTAAAGAAAGAAACAAAGAGATTTCTGCAAAATGTTACATATCTCCAGTTCGTATAAATTGCGTAGAAATCTTGTAATTGTTTATTTGCAATTTAATGTAGAATTATATAATTCTATAAATAAACTAAAGTCTCAATTGATTAACGTTATCTGAGATCATTTGGGATTAAATTATTTTTGTCCAATTTCGAATACACGTTTCGTTTAATCACAAGCAACGTCGAAATTATGCAAGTCGAAACAATGGATTCGAATTACGCTCAATTATTTTTGTTCTGAAAACCTCTTTGTTCGCTAAACGATGATTTATGAAAGTTTCCGTGCAACGAATCGATTCGAAATGCAATTTCCCAACAACGTTTGTTTGTTTTTCATCGCTTTTCCCA